ATGGTCAATTGTGGTCTGGAGTAAAGAAGTACAGCTATAATGAGACCATTAAAATCTATAAAAATCTAAACACATATTTTAAAATTATTTACATCTGTGTCGTGCACAGGTTGCACATGTGGACGTGACACCACTTGCAAAATTTCAATTGATTTTACCCAACGGATCAAAAGTTAGAGCAATTTGAATGTGTGCGGATTTTAAATGGCACACCCTTTACAAATTCGTATAGTTAATCAGACCATCATAGAAGTCTTTGTAGAGACTGTAGAACTTCAGAATGCTAACACCTGGACACTTGAGTGAACCTAAAATCTAGACTAACATTTGAAAAGGGCGTAATTCCAAAATGACCATATCGAGAAAATCGCTTCTGAATTTTGATGACCTAAAAATTAATCCTATTTCACGACTTTCCATTTTCTGGATGATTTTATAAGCTTGACATATAGTTAATAGTGTAATCTAACATCATGCATCACCAAAAACTCAAAAAAAGTTTTCTTTGTCGTACGCCCTGATAATTTCATACATGTTGTTACCCCCCGGATCTTCCACCCTTTGAACTGCCAACACTGGTGATACGCCGTGGAAGTACACCCTCGGGATTTTTTGTTTGTTGTTCCGCCTTGGTTCTTCGTTCGCAAATTTTTTGAGAGTGGAATTACGCCCGGAGATTTTTTGGTCTTCTTTTTGTTCGTTGTTTACACGTGAACTATCAATCGGATGCATTTCAAATGAATCGGGCGTGACTAGATACTACAGACTCAATACGTTTGACATATTAAAACGATATAATTCGTAGTTCTGGTGCAAGGCGTAACAACCAGATGCATCATAGAGTTGAAAGTTGGAAATACGCCATGTAAGAAGAAACGTTTTTGATGATTTGAAGTGATATTTTCTTCTACTTTTTCGTGTTTATCGAGTAGTTTGTGAACTATTCTCTCTATATGTGGCAAAATATGGTTTGTTTACATTTTGGCTCTTCCGCCCCTTTCAAATGTTAGTCTAGAAATATACTGGATAACAGAACGATATGTCTTTATTCATCTTACTGGCTTTGACAGTCGAGTCGACTCAATTTCGTCAAATATGGATTTACTCAAATGATAGTTAAATTTTCCGGGCTTTTCCACGAAAAATATGAGGATAATCTATGAAAATTTTACTCAGTCTGAGTATACTTATATACTGAATGAAATCATTTCCTCATATTCGATAAGTTTTTCCTGTAAAAGCCCGGATAATTCAACTTACTTTTGAGTAAGCCATTTTTGAGGAAATTGAGTCAAGACGAATCAATTTTGAGTCGGTTTGATCGCCCGTGAACAGTTGAAAGCTTTCCATGCCCACCAGTTCATGAATTTGTATGTCGTATGGCGAGCGCTCTGATATGCTCATGTACTTTAACTATTTGTTTTGTATTACTTCTGCGTGAAGTACATAACTCTGGATGGGAGCTTACCATCAATTACTATCATTGGTTGAAAGGTACAGTAACAGCACCACCCTACCCGTGTCCCGTCGAGATCGTCAAGTCGACGATGGCAGGGTCACATACCGTGGTAGAGGTAACAATTGACCACTTTGTCAAGCAGTTGTGGCGTGACTTTCTACCAGCGATTTCAAAAAACTTGACCAACTAATTTCTTTTTTTTATGAAACGCACAAATGTTGGCTACTTTTTTCGTGGTTCTAGAAGAAAAAAATCTCAAAATAATGGGTTATTTCAAAGTTCGAGTGGTAGTAAACGTCATTTTGGATGCCTTCCTTCAGAAAACAACTTGAGTGCGGTACAATCGATAAAACTGTTTCAAACACATCGTCGGTACATGAGCGAGTCAGTGATCATCTCTTTTTGCCAGTGGTGGCGGGAAGGGGGGGATACTCCTTACCATCCCTCTCCAACGGGGGAGTTTGGTAAAGAGAGACGATCAAACCGATTTGTACCTTCCTAAAAAGTTGTCCTCATCTATCGTATAAAAATTAACACTTTCAGGGTGTCCATCCAACCGGGAAAACCGGGAAATCCGAGAAAAAAAACCATGAATCCAGATTTGCCGGGAAAAAACCGGGAAAAATGCGGGAAAACCCAAATCGCACCGGGAAAGACCATAAATACTCACCCCAAATATCAACTTTGGGTTTATCATAGTCTTGTAGGCCATAATTTGGTCTTGAAGAATCATTAAAGCCTTTATAAAACTTGCAATGTTACTTGGAATCAATCAATTTTATGTCACATACACCATTATATTCTCTTGTGTACACATCTGTTTACAACTTTCATATTATGTCTTTCAGTGTGGTAAAGTATCCAAAAAATCCTTGCTCTCACTCGCAATCTGTTCGCGCACGGGGCAAATGGTGATTTTGCTGTTATTTCTACCACGATAGCTTACCTAGTTTTTTTTATTAGAATTTCTTTTGGTGAGTCCAGACATTTTGGAAAACCCAATAAACCAAATCATATTATGGTTTTACCATTCTATCATTAAGTCGAATCTTCGTATACCAAAATTTAGGCTCATTTTTTTGCAGTGAAACTCGTTGATTTTATACGAATTCATGGTTCCATGAGATTTTTGAGATCTAGATCATCAACATGTTAATGCAAATCTCATCTCATTTTTTTTTTTCTAAAAAGTTGACGGATTGTAAAACAATTCTGATCAGATAATCATATAATCACTACGGTTATTTTTGAACGCCTGTTTTTGTTTAAGGCGGAGGTGATGTTGTGGTTTGGTTTATTATTAAATAACCGGGAAAAAACCGGAAATTTGAAAATTAGATTTGAATGGACACCCTGCACTTTAGTTTGTTATTTGAAATTAGCATCCTTTGTTACCAAGCTTGCAAATGCTCATTACAGCAAAAATGCTATTTTTCGGATTTATGAAGCTATGAGATATTTTAATGGCAATTCTTATTTACAAGATGCAAGAACAGATGGTAAAGTGTGTGTATGACACATAAAACATGTCAATTTAGCTTTCAGAGGGTCACAATAGCGATTAGCTGTAACGATGAGCAACGCGATGAGCGAGCAATCAGCGATCATAAAATCGCTAGTTGTGACCTTCTGAAAGCAAAATTGACCAATTTTATATGTCATATACAAACTTAGCCACCTCTTCTTGCATCTTACAAATAAAAATTATCATTAAAGTATCCCATTGTTTCATAATAGCGAAACATAGCATTTTAGCTGTAATGAGCAATTGCAAGCCTGTTTGTTACTACTACTAGACTGAGTAAAATTTTCTTAAATTTTTATCATTTTCCAGCAGTTCATTCTATCTTGTAAAACTGTCGCTTTAATGGCCCTTCGCTCATTTTCAACTTCTATTCAATTTTCATACTGCCGTACTCTAACGGAACTATCCACCTACCCTCTTCTAAAAGATCATTCTCTAGCTAATAAATCATCACACTAAAGCTTCATGCTAGCATTTCCAACCAACTCTGAAAATCGTTAACTTCGCGTATGAAGTAACATAAAAAAAAAAAAAAAAAAAACACTTTGAATGAGTTCATTGAGGTTTTAAAACATGGGGATAATTTACTCATCGCTGAGTTCCTGCACTTTTTGCGATTAAGAATAAACTGAACTATAATTTGGGTTGATCTCATCGGCCGTGCACAAATTTAAAGGGACAAAATCCAACAAGTCTTAATGGGATACATTGTAAAGTATGAAAACTCTTGCCATCAACACAATAGATCAGTGCACGAAGATTTGCTGCACGCACATACAGACATCAGCAAATTTCATCTTGCCGGGTCGATTTTTCATATTTAATTTGATTCTACGATGTCGCGTTCAAACTGTCGAGCCAGATCGAGCAGAGATCTATCGATTGGGAATCTTTTATACAGGTGAGATAGCTTGTGTGAATTACTATCGGTCACAGACGGCAAGACGTGTGAAATCCGATTTTAATACCTATGTTACGGCAGTAACAAAGGTAATACACTGCTCCGCAAATAATGTATATCTCCTTAAGTGCTCCGCAAACAATAAAGCTTACAAACCCCCGTTATAAATCGTGACTTTTGCACATTTTCAGTCAATATCCATGTATCCCAAAAGACTCAATCATAACCTGACAAGTGCAGAACAACTGAAACATAATCCACGCTGACCATGACCTTCGCAGGCTTAGTACCCATCGGCTTCCGAAATGGATAGGATTATACTTCTCCAGTGTCGCACCACGTCGCGTCGTAGTAAATGTCCTTCGTTGGGACCAAATCAAACAATCACTTACTTTGTAGCGCCATCCCCCTAGGGAAAATATCCGGATCTGGTCGACCGGGGTCGCAATCATCTCCGCTCCCTGTTATACTTTTTTTTTCTTCTTTGCTCCAACAGTCAAACACGCACCCGTTACTCGGACACCATTATCCACATGGTCGGCTTTGGTGGAGGATAAAAAAGGAACTCCACGTAAAAGCCCGGTAAAAGCCAGGCAAACACGATGACGAGGTTAATTTTTCCATTTCACGTATTTCATCGTCCGGAATTCACGGGCATTCGCTCATCGGTGGGGTGCGTCCGCGTGGCCACACCTGGGAGCAATGCAATGTGTATAGTTTAGATCCATTTAGCCATTAATCGTAGAAAGCGTAAAAAATGCCCCATCATAACGACCATCGCATCGGCATATTACGTTCCATCATCGCAGAAATAATTTATTAACCCCACTGTTGTTCGTGACAAGACATCAAAAAGGATAACCGTTAACCACCACGTTTGTCATTGTTTTGTAGCGTTCCAAAGCATTGTAGACCGTTCGTTGATCGGTGCCATTACTAATTACTCATTCCAAAGTGCAATCCATTTCCATACAGCAGAGTCCATTGTGACACGTTTGTTCGTTTTTGTTTTCTTTCCTGTTCATTTGATCTGTTTGCATGTCCCTGCACGGAGTTGACAGTTGATTAATTCAATTTTTTTTCGATTTCTTCCTTTTCTCCTTCTCCTTACGCAGATTTTGACTCGCGGTACTTTTGGAACTGGACCGACTTCCAGTCCTATCTGGACTTTATGCTGGTGGTGTGGGTCGTCGGGGCGGCTGTCACCTACCTGATGCTGTCCGTGACCTGGTTCATGGAAACCGTTGGCTTCCTGGCAGTCTTCACCGAAGCGATGTTAGGTGAGTCCTGCTGATGGGTGCTGGAGGAGCATATTACTAACGAAGTGTCTCGTTTTAGGTGCACCGCAATTTCTTAGAAACTATAAGAATAAGTCCACGCACGGTATGAGTATTTGCATGGTGATCATGTGGACCGCTGGTGATATGTTCAAGACTGGTTACTTTATCTTAAGGAATGCACCGACGCAGTTCTGGATCTGCGGAACCCTGCAGGTGAGTCGATCTGGGTCGTGATGGACGTGAAGTTCCTATTATGGTGTGTTCCTATTACGGCATATGGGAATTCACTACCAACAAATCATCCCTTCCCCCGTTTTGTAAGCTTAATACACTACTTATCTCAGTATTATTATTAACAAATCCGCCTCCCTCTATTTGTGAAATCTTTCATCAAATATTCGAAGGGTCTGTATTTTACTCAGTGGTGTCGCCCTAACCTCAATCTACCTGTTCAACAACTCTCAAAACGCAAACAAATAAAAAGTTATTAATGAGAGAGAGAAGGATTAGTAATTTCCATTTAATTCCACTACCTTATTTGCTTATGTGCAGACTTCTTCAGTATCTTGTACTAATACTCGACTACAAGACACTGAAGAAGTCTGCACATTGTAGACCAATGTTCGAGCGTGGGCTCTAATTGCCGGCCACTGGAGGTTTTTCTACCCGTTGTTTCAAACAACGGAGCCACAACTCTGGGAAAACGATTTTTCATTGCAGTAAAGGGTGATACGGTCAAAATTTGGTCAAGGGAAAACGCGTGTAAATCGGTGAAATCGTTTATTTAAAAAATCAAATTAAATTTCTTTTTCAAGTTCAATTAGTATAAAATTCAGGAAAAATATTCAGTTAGGCTTCCGCTTTTCCAAATCCGAATTGCCGGGCCTTACGCTTGACCCCTGCCATCAGATTTTGTACAGCCACCTTGTCCACCTTCTTCGCCGCAGAAAGCCAGTTTGCCTTGAACTGGTGCTCGCCCTTAGCAGTTTTTTTGGTCTTCTTTAGGTTCCGCTTGACAATAGCCCAGTATTTCTCAATTGGGCGGAGCTCTGGCGTGTTGGGAGGGTTCTTGTCCTTGGGAACCACCTGCACGTTGTTGGCGGCGTACCACTCCATGGCCTTTTTACCGTAATGGCAATATGCCAAATCCGGCCAAAACAGTACGGAACAACCGTGTTTCTTCAGGAAAGGCAGCAGACGTTTATTCAAACACTCTTTCACGTAAATTTCTTGGTTGACAGTCCCGGAAGCTATGAAAATGCTGCTTTTCAAGCCACAGGTACAGATGGCTTGCCAAACCAGATATTTCTTTGCGAACTTTGACAGTTTCATGTGCTTGAAAACATCTGCTACCTTTCCCCTTCCTTTTGCCGTATAAAACTCCTGTCCCGGAAGCTGCTTGTAGTCGGCTTTGACGTAGGTTTCGTCGTCCATTACCACGCAGTCAAACTTCGTCAGCATCGTCGTGTACAGCCTCCGGGATCGCGCTTTGGCCGTCGTATTTTGTTTATCATCGCGATTTGGAGTCACTACCTTCTTGTAAGTCGATAGTCCGGCTCGTTTTTTGGCTCGATGCACGGTTGTAGACGATACACCCAGCTTATTTGCGGCATCTCGGAGAGAGAGGTTAGGGTTTCGCTTGAAACTACCGGCAACTCTCTTTGTCGTCTCAGCGGCTTCCGGTTTTCGATTTCCCCCCGATCCAGACTTCCTGGATGTCGACAAACGTTCCCCAAACACTTTAATTACATTTGTAACGGTTGATTTGGCAACTTTTAGCGATTTTGCCAACTTTGCGTGCGAGTAGCTCGGATTTTCGCGATGCGCGAGCAAAATTTTGATACGCTGCTCTTCTTGCTTGGACGGCATTTTGACAACTGAAGAGTGAATTCCAAAATCAAAATAGGAGCAACATTCTACACACACACACCTTCAAAATGAGGGGTGTTCAGGTTTTTTAAATGCAAAATTGAAAGAAATACGTCAAGTTGATATTGACCAAATTTTGATCGTATCACCCTTTAGCACTGATCTTCACAGTGCCATCTCTTAACGCACTATAACCACTTTCACGAATTCATGGATTCGGACACACGTATCTACGAAACAGTCCATAGGATAACTCACGCACTACGACCGACGGAACTTCCCGGTTTGGTCACAAACTCTGGATCGTTTCGGATGTGAACGAGGAAATTATTTTTAGATTGTCTTGCACTGTATCTCACTTGATTACCCTTAGACGATCGAGCGGACAAAGAAAACACGTGATAAATACCGAACGCTCCTGCTGTATACCACTTGATGTTAGGTCAAACGTCATTGGGCTGATCGTTTGATCGAGTGGTTGATTAGTCAGAGTTTTTAAATAAGATAGTTTGCTTCAGTGGCGTCGCCCTAACCTCAATCTACCTGTTCAACAACTCCCAAAACGTAAACAAACAAAACAATATTGGTTCCAGTCATCTACCTGGCATACGGGAAAATCCCGAACCAGCTGAACAGACTCCAACGAGCTTTAGCCCCCAAAGCAAACCCCCGTGGCTCCACTATAGCTGGACTTCGTTCGCGGCCAATACGAAACAACGATTGACATTTACGTGGCCAGGTGGCTCTACGGTCAAGCTGACTGGGAACTCTTCAACGATAATGTGACCCAGGCATACACCGACCACCCAGCAACGAGCATGGAAGAACTCATGGGGATGATCACTGGGGTCGCCAATATCGCCATCCCGAAGACCAGTCCGAACCTCGGTCGAAAAAACCCTTGTGTCCCGAAGCGAAATCTGCAATCAAGGCCAAAAGGAAAGCTCTTCGTGCCAGGACCACCCACACACTTAGAAAAATTGATGTAAATCTAGGTGCTCTGAGATTTACATATACGAGCGTCAATTTTGACATAAAATTGAGTCATAATAGACGCGAAATCCAGCTCAATCAAACGTACTTTTGAACTTTTCAGTCTCGGAGCAGTTAATTAAACATGACAAGCTGGATTCCGTCACGTGTAAGATTAAGTATTTCTAACAGGGTGCCTTCCATTCATTTTGACTAAAAAAATGTTTTAGAATATTATGGAATAATAAGATATTATGGTGGTATTTTGTATGTGTAAGGAACAAGAAAAGATTTTAAAGTTTGAGTTTGACACATAAAACCTGCAAATTTAGCTTTGACAGAGCCACAATGAGCGATTTTCTGATCGCCTCTTCGCGAAGAGTGAAGAGCGAAGAGTGGGTGAGATAAATGACAAAATAGCTTATTGCCACTCTCATGCAGCAACATTGGCTGGTATTATGTGTCAAACACAAACTCCACAATCTTTTCTTGTTGCTTACACAAACAAAATATTATAATAATATCTTATTATTCCATATTTTCATAAAACATTTTTATAGCCAAAATGAATGGAAGGAACCCTGATTTCTAAGTGTGCAGGCATGGAACGAGCCGCCGAGCTTTACCGCTCCAAGCGAAACGAGTGCCGGCAACTTATCAGGGACGTCAAGAAAAGTATTATTATTATTTAGCTTGATTAAGGAGGCTTTCAGCCTTCAAGAAAAGTAGCTGGGAGGATATTTGGAGGGGATCAACTCCAACCAAACGGCGTCTGAGCTGTGGAGCCAGGTCAACGCCCTCAACGGAAAAAGAAAGGCCAGGCGACTAATTCGCCTCATTCTCAGCCATTGACCGCTACGACAGGAATTTCATTCGGTATCCTGCGGTTCGGTAGCCCGCAGCAAAAGGAAATCCGCCGGTCCAGATGACATAGGATACCCCTAGTAGCACGCTTGTCACAAATCAATTGTAGAAACTTATATACTTATATACTTATATTTCAGTCATAAACAAGTTGCTGTAACTTATTGTGATGAACGTGTGCTACTCGGGCCCATGCTGCAACATCTCCTGCCCAGCACCAAACTCGAACTGCTAGACCTAATAAATAAAATCTGGGTAGAGAACACCCTGCCCACAGTCTGTAAGTCCCCATCCCAAAGCAAGGGCAAGTGGCCTCTACCCCGAAAAACTTCTGTCCGATCTCTCTGAAGTGCTGCACCAGTAAAGTCATGGACCGTATAGTCAATCGCCGTCTCATTCGCTTCTTCGAGGACAACAACCATCTCGATCACCGGCAGCATGTGTTCAGACCCGGTCACGGTACCGGAACGTACTTTACTGGCCTGGGCGACGTACTTCGAGAGGCGATGAACGAGGCACTCCATGTCTACATAGCGGCCTTGGATCTAGTCAAAGCGTATAACCGCGGCTGGACCCCCTACCCGAGTAAAGCCTGAGATCAAATTAAAATCTAAATTTGATGTTGTGATTTCCCTGATAATGATTACTCATGTTGCTATCGTTTTGGTCGTTTTAACGGTTAAAATATCACAATTGAGAGCAAACAAATCTTCCTGTGACCGGGGTTACTTCCACTCACTTCGCTAAAAAAAATGTTTTGACGTAGGACTACGTCTTTGATTTCTATATGGGGGTACATTTTGTGAATACCGAAAATGGAACATGTAACAAATTAAGAAAGATTTTGAACGTTAATAACTCAGTGGCCCCTGGTCCAATTTCAATAATGTTATCACCAATCGATCATAAATATGGCTACGCATCGATAACAATGCTTCCGAATGTTGATTTTCAACAAGAAACTATTGAAAAACTGGTAAATGTCCAGCATTGTCCAAAAGCGTCGAATTAACTAACAAATCCACAAATTACCTACATGCATATGCTGCTTCCCCAGCACAGTCATCAGAGAGTAGTAAGTAGACGAAAAAAGTCGAAGTGGCATTCGCCTCCGATCTTCGGGCGCGTGCAAATAGGGAGGATGGAATTGCGTAATATTTTGCACACTCATCACCACATTCAGAACCAAACGCAAATTCTTCGAAATAACCACCATCCGTCGTCTGGCTCGCCGTGGCGGTGTCTGACGTATCTCCGGTCTGATTTACGAGGTGTGCTGAAGGTGTTCCTGAAAAATGAGATCCGTGATGCTGTCACCTACACTAAACACGCCAAGTGTAAGCGGCCATGGATGTCATCTACGTTTTGAAGTGACAGAGACGCACTCTGTTTGGTTTCGGAGGTTAAATCATCACCAACTTTGGCAACAAAACGGCTCTTTTCAGGGCCACCAAGCTTATTACATCTGCCTGTTTGTCCATATTCAGAACCAACGACCACACAAAATG